TAATCCAAACTGGAAGAATGCAATTTCAGGGATATTTCCTTTAGTCTGTTAGAATTACTGTGTGAAGACATATGCTGAGTTGTGAGAGGTTCTTCCCATTTAGTATCGCTGCCAATGGGTTTGACTTCATTTCATGAAGCAATTTGACTGGGAAAACAACCATTTTCTATGAGATGCTTTTATTATTATGTTATGCTCTTCTGCTAATCAAATAAAAAATGAATTTCAGGGATATTTCCTTTAGTCTGTTAGAATTACTGTGTGAAGACATATGCTGAGTTGTGAGAGGTTCTTCCCATTTAGTATCGCTGCCAATGGGTTTGACTTCATTTCATGAAGCAATTTGACTGGGAAAACAACCATTTTCTATGAGATGCTTTTATTATTATGTTATGCTCTTCTGCTAATCAAATAAAAAATGAAGATGAAGGAGCATCTGTAAGGTCTTTGAGCTAGTATTTATTTAAGGCTGTACTGCTGTTCCCTGTGAAAAATAGCAGATACTGAAGTTTTTGCTCTGCAAAGACTAGGAAATGTTGTACTAATGCACAGTATTAAACTTCTTCTATAAATTCAAGTGTCCTTTATGTTGGCAGTTTAAACTTGCATTTACTGCTGCTATAAATAGTTGCTTATATGGAATTCCATTCGTTACAGCTTTTACTGCTCTTGGTAGTTGTGCGGGAAAGATGTGCAGCTCTCGGATCAGTTGATAAAAATCAGTAAACATTTTGATGATCCTCTGTTCTTCTTTTCATGAAGTTTGATGAATTCCTGTTTCTCACCCAGTGGAAACACTGGCAGCCCTTCCTGGCATGCCTGTCATTATCTCAGTGACAGCTTGCCTTGCCGGTGCTCGTGGTTCTAGGTCAGTTCGCATGGCTAGTCAAATGTGACAACATGACAAGATTAAGTAAAGCTGAGGTTCTGTGATTTGTAAATGGAGGATTTGCAATGTGAAGCTCCTTTGATAACAGAAATAGGGAATCATCTGTGTTTGCCCTCAACAAGTGCATATAAGCAAGTGTGCATCTCCTGGGCTGGTTTTTTTTTTCGTGAAGCAACTAGATTTCTGTCTCTGATAGACTGAAAATGGAGCACATGAAAGGTGGTTTTTGTGTGTGCATGTATGTATGTTTATCTCTGAGTACACTG